GCGCGCGCTTATCTGTCTGGTGCCGTGGGGCAGCTGCTGCAAAGTCTGATGTCTGCCTGCCTGCTGTGCTCGAGTCAGCTTATAAAAGAGAGGCAGCATTGAAGGAAGTGAAGGAGGATGTGGAGGACTTTTAAAAAGATTATAATGCTAATGAGTGTGCTCCACTTCAAACATACAATAACCTTGCTGTACAGTAGCATCAAATAGTTTGGCAGAACTTGCTCACCACGATGCTTCTGTCATTACCGCTGGGCAGCTTAACACAACTTAAAGGTTCAATTTAAAAAAATACAAGAGGGAATTAGGAAATAAAAACAGGAGAACCTAGGGCAATGTCTATGCGTGACAGTAACTGTAAGCAAATTTACGGCTCAAGGGAGTCACCAAGTTTGATTTAGCTTGTGGTTTAGCTTGAACCTACGACCTAAAATAAGTGGCTCCAATTTTCTTCACGCAAGGAGGCCACAAAAGGCTGTGCGAAGCTGCCGGCCTTGGCAGAGAATCTATCTTGTACAGGCATGAAATACAAGGACGGTTCTTGGAGCTTGTTTGCTGCATGATGGTGAAAGTGAAATAGGATGTCTGCTTTTCAGTAAGAGCTTTTTTTTTGAGTATTTAATACCTGATTATTTGTTTACAAGTTGACAATGACTGTTTTGAACAATGTACACTCTCTGTGTAGATAAATGCTTTTATTCAAGTACATTGAATTAAACTTTCAAGGATGTTTACTGAGCAGCTCAACTTTAATATACTTTTAATAAGACATTTTGAATAAAAATGCTCTGAAAATGAACATTTTAAATAAAACAGTGCAGTATTTAGAATTGTAAATATATGCAGCTGTAACCCTCAAAATTCTGCTTCACTGCAGAGGTAATATAAAACAATATTAAAAATATATAAAATACAAAGGCCATAAAGAGAAGTGATTACTTACTGCATAATATTACTTTTCAAGCACACAAAACTTTAATGTGAGATTCAATAGTGTTTTCTGTTTTTATAAAGTCCATCCATCCATCTTCATCCGCTTTATCCGGGGCCAGGTCGTGGGG